TAACCACCCATGATTTATGTGTATGTGATTGATTACATAATAGTAGCTTGGAAGGAGAACAGTAAGCGAATTAGCTGCCAGTGTCCAGTTTGATACTTGACTAGGTGGTTGGTCAATAGTCTTGCACCTTGGGGGGTGCAGGGAAGGGTCCCTCCTCTTCAGGAAGGGACCATATGACATGCCCTAGTGCACTTTTGTTGTGTGTGTTCACATACATATACTTTTTTGGAATGCTTTGGTATTTTGTTTTTGTGCACCACCGTACCGCAGGCTCAGAAAGAAAAAGAAAAACCTGGAGCTGCTGGAATGATTCAGAATATTGAACTGGGGAATATGGGAAGGAAGGAAGGAGGGGGGGGGGGGTGTTGGCACAGCACTAATGATGAAAATGGGAGGCTTACATTTTTTAATTTAGCAGCTTGGGTGAATGCCGTTTTCTCATACGGTGGTGCATCTATCTCTATCTATCTATCTATCTATCTATCTATCTATCTATCTATCGAACGTTATACTTGTAATCTGAACTCCATATAGAAAATAATAGAAAAAAAAATTCACTTAAATAGGTTTCTCAATTGCCTCAGTGAATCCACTTTTTGTACACCAAATGCCTTTAAAATCCAGTTACTACTTTGTAAAAGCAGTGGTGACATCATCATCACTGTGCTGTGTAGAAAGCAGAGCTGTGGGAGGGACCCAGCAGGCTTAACAACTACAGTTGTGCTCAAAAGTTTGCATACCCTGGCAGAAATTGTGAATTTTTGGCATTGATATTGAAAATATGACTGATCATGCCAAAAAATGTTCTTTTTATTGAAGGATGATGATCATATGAAGCCATTTAATATCAAATAGTTGTTTGGCTCCTTTTTAAATCATAATGTTACCAGAAATCACTCAAATGGTCGAAAGTTTCCATACCCTGGAATGTTTGGCCTCAGTACAGACACACAAGGGTTAAAATGCCAATTAGAGGTTAATGTCCCACATCTGTGGCTTTTTAAATTGCAGTAAGTGTCAATGTATAAATAGTCAATGAGTTTGTTAGCTCTTACGTGGAAGCAGTGAGCAGGCTAGATACTGAGCTATGGGGATCAGAAAAGAACTGTCAAAAGTCCTGCGTAACAAGGTAATGGAACTTTTTATAAAGATGGAAATGGACATAAATAGATGCAGCAGTTACTGGTCTTTATTACAGGAAGCTCCTTCACAGAAGGGACGTTTCACACTGGATTACTGCACAGTCCTGGTCTGGAAGAAAACACACAAAGCACATCAAGATTCAAGTTAGAATAAAAGTGTATCTTGTATTAAGACCATATTGGCTAATGCCAGAATTCAGCTTTAAAGTGGAGCTTCAGCAACAAACACACATACAGTACAGTATACTGTATATATAATATGTACTGGGTATGTTTATTCTCCCTCCTCTCCCCCTATCCATCGCTTCTCCAGATGAGAGTCAAAGCGCTAGAAGTTCAGCACTGGCTCTAGTATCTGGCACACTAATCAGTAAATGATACAGTAAACAAAGGCAATGTAAACATTTTACAATCCAAGTAACTTTTTTTGTCTTAATTTCTATCCATGTAAATTAAGCTCCAGCTCTGTGGCTGGAGTTCCACTTTAAAGGATTTTTTAAGATTAGCCTGGTGAAAAACGTGGAAAAAAAATACCACCTTCTGGTTGACATTTATCAATATGAAATATTTGTATGCAAAAGATATACGACTAAGAATAAAATTAAAATTTATTTTTTTTGCTCTGAACATAAAAAAATAGGCAAACGCTGTACATTTTCTTTTCCATTCTCATTCCTAGCAGAGCAGGAAATGCACAATTATTTGCTTTGTTAATATTTTTCAAAATGCTTTTTGGTACCTTGATCCAAAGCAAATGATAAAACGCCAATACCCTCCATCATGTCACAGATAAATGTGGGTTATTTATGACCTTGTATCAACAACTCAATCTTTTGTCTTACAGTTATCAATGACAACAACATATCCTTCTTAAGAAACTTGGCAGGATTTCTGGAAACAAGTTACAGCTCACAGGTAATACAGTCAGTGAAAAAAGGTTAGGTTAGGTTAGCCTTGATGGTTAAAAGTTAAGTTTGCCTTTTATACCATTTTGCACCCATAGTTAGGGTATAACATAGTGGTGCACTGAAATGAAAATTCTGGACCAAAACCGAAACTTCAGGATGCACTGATGCAAAAATGAAACCGAAATGGACCGTTTTTAAATAAAAAAATTTTAATATATAAATGTATTATGTTCCAATTTTTAATTAATATACTGAATTTAAATGAATAAAAAATTAAAAAAATACAACCCAGTAATGTAAAATAACTGTTATTGTAAGTAGCACATACAAATTGGACAGAAAATAAAATTAAATATATATAAAATTAAAACACTTAAAGCGGAGTTCCACTCACTCTGTAAAAAAATAAAAGTCAGCAGCTACAAAAACTGTAGTTGCTGACATTTAAAAAACAGCCACTTAAGTGTTCCTCGATCCCACAGTGTCCTCCCCGGAGGCCATTTCACCAGCCGTCCGGTGTTCCCGGTTCTGGCATCTTCAGTGTGAGTACCAAGCTGTGACAGCTTGCGGCTGCACAGTCCGGTGCCCACTGTGCATGCGTGAGTAGCGCTGCACTTTTTTTAATGGTCCCCCGTAGTCTTCTGTGACCTCTCATATGTCCCAGAAGACTATGGGGAGGGGAGTGGGAGAGGGCAACTTCTGCTTCCAATCTCCTGGGTGATCGCAGCGGAAGTGGGAGCAGGTACGTGTTAATTTCAGGGACCCCTCCCCAAAGGTGCCAATCCTTAATGGGGAGCGGTGGACTAGTCTTTAAATTGGAACTTCCCCTTTTGGGTGGAGCTACGCTTTAACTAGAGGCGTTTTTGCATTGAAGCCAGTAGGGGGCATTTTTCTATTGAAGTCAATAGGGGGCATTTTTACGTTGAAGTCAATTTGACACAATTTTGCTTTGAAGTCAATGGGATGCGATCTTGCAATGAAGTCAATGGGAGGTCAATTTTTCATTGCTGTCAATTGGATGTGATTTTGCATTGAAGTCAATTGGATGTGATTTTGCATTGAAGTCAATTGGACGCGATTTTGCATTAAAGTTAATGGGGTGCAATTTTGCATTGAAGTCAATAGGGGGCGTTTTTGCATTGAAGTCAATAGGGGGCGTTTTTGCATTGAACTCCCCCTATTAAAGTCAATAGGGGGGCGTTTTTGCAATGAAGTCAGTTATCATTATTGGCACCTTTTTCTTTTTTCTGTCGGCAAAACACAGATAACCCTATTTTCAGCCGATAATTTGCAGTGCATTATTAGTATAACATGGTGCCAAGACACGCACTCCCAAACCGGACCCACTCCTATAGGATTGTGGGAACTGCAGGATAGGACCAAAAAATATTTAAATACTATTTTTTTAATTACATTTTTATTTTAAAAACAAGCAGAAAAAGGATAAATGGCTTCCTTTATAAAATATAAAAATTCAGATTACAGTCATTAAATTTCTAATCAATGTAAGGTGAAAATTGTGTCAGTTTAAGCTGGCCACTTTTGTTATTAACATGTCATTCAAAAAGCTTTTTTGCTTAGAGAAACATCTAAATTCAGCTATCAAAGATCTATTTGGCCATCCAGGTGGTAAAATGTTAAAATCCCCTCTTTCAGCAGTGCTTTTGTTATGTTTGTGGAGCCCTGATGACCTTAAAGAAGAATTCTAGGTATGGATAGTTTATACATATTTACATTGGTCCACCTTGAGCCAATGTAACCATGTATATACCATACCTGACTGCGGCCCCTGGAAGCTGGAGATCACTGATGTAGACACTGCTACTCTGTTACTTCCAGGTCCTACAAAAATCAGCTGAATTCTGAACACAGGAGGTCAGCCGCTTGGCACTGATGAAGTTCAAAGAATGCTTTGCATTTGGTGAATGAATGCAAAGCATTATCTGGTTGAACAAGTGGAGAGTGTGACATCACTACCCTGTCTCTTCACCTTGTCCATTCAGAAAACGCTTTGGATTCAGAAAATGCTAAGCATTCTCTGAATGGTGCTGGTGCCACACAGCCGACCTTCTGTGTTCAGAATGCAGCAGGGCAGCGGCTAAGCATGAAATCAGGCATCAGGTGGAGATGACTGGAGTAGTGCTGTCTACTTCAGTGATTTCCAGCTTCAATTGGCGTCAGCCAGGCATGGTATATGCAGGGTTACATTGTTCTAAGCTGGATCAGTGTAATTATGTATAAAATATCCATACTGAGAATTCCTCTTTGTTTTTTTTAATTTTTTTTTTTTTTTTTTTTTAAGTAAGCAATAAAAAAAAAATGATGGCTACCCTACCAAGAAAACCAGCTTGGTACACTGGGCATGTTGACTGGTATTCCAATAACAAGGGTGCAGTAGGCATTGATTGCCTTAAATGAAACATCAGTACACATTCCCTTCCACAATATTGTGTTACTAACAGACTAAAATATATAAAAAAAAATCCTATTTCTTTTCTGACCAATCCCCTGGCTGCCTTAGAAAGTGCATGAAAAATATTGGCATGCTTCAAAAACATAGATTAAGGATCCTGCTTTGAAAATTTAATTTAAAACTGTACCAAATCACAAAGGTTCCTATTGCGAATGGCCTTCCGAAAATGTCAGCTTGGCTGTCAACTTGAGTATTTGGGTCACAGACCTGCAAAGGAATCATTTTAAAGATAAGATAAAAATATGGGAGCTTTCACTGTTGACTTGGTTTTGAAAGTGCAGACTCCAAGGCATATACTTTGTTAATGATCTTTCTTTTCTGCAGAGTTCTACTCCACAATTGATATCAACGCCCACACCAACCAATGAAAACAAACACTCATCAACCGAAAGACTATCTCCCCCTGTTACACTTTCTTTATCAGAACCAGGCCAGCCCAATTCACCTGCAGCAATAACCAGCTCCCCACCAGAAGGAATGCTGCAGGTGAGTGGTGTGACAAGTGGCTTCCAGTACTGGATGAAGATGGACGATGGTGGTGAGAACACACTACCTGAATCTTGTGTGCTGTGGGAGGAACCATTACAAGAAACCTTGCCAGATGGTACCCCCACATGGGCATCACCCATAGAGGTTAGTATACGTGTATTGTGCTCCCTAGATGTATCTGTATATTACTATTGTAAGATTGATTACTAATACATGATTTGCTTTTCTGCGTTTAGAGTAATGGACGCCCTAAATTGGAGTTGGTGCCTGCCTCTGGGGTGTATATCACATACCAGCAGCTGGAGGATCTCTCCCACATCCCACCAGATAAGCCCAAGCTGATGACCAGGCGCCTACTTGATTACTTCTTCTCTCGGGAGACTTTGGCACGATCTTCAGCCACAGGGCAGAGAATTGCTCATAACAACACCACTATGGAGAAACCATTGCGATTACCCGATGCAGTGGTTACTGCAATTAAAGGTGAGAACGTGGTGCCAATACAGTTGCTGAGTTGCTGCAGTCGAGCATATCCAAAGCCTCTTGTTTATTCTGCTGTACCAGTAATCACAAGGCAAATGAGATTTAATGTTGATAAATGTAAGGTTCTGCACTTGGGGGCTAAGAATATGCACGCATCATACATACTAGGGGAGGGGTACAACCAGGGCGGACTGACCATTTGGAAATTCGGGCACTGCCCGAGGGCCTTGGGTCAGTAGGGGGCCCCATGAGATGTCCCTGGTACCTTTTTCATAGGCTTTTTTAAGTTTGGGCAAGGACACAGGGGCCCCATGATTCCCTATTGCCCGGGAGCCCCATGAGTTGTCAGTCCGCCCCTGGGTACAACTGAGGGAATCAATGGTGGAGAAGGATCTGGGAGTTCTGGTAGATCACAAGATTAATAATGGCATGCAATTCCAAGCTGCGGTTTCTAAAGCGAGCAAAATCCTCTCCTGTATTAAAAGAGGTATAGACTCCAGAGAGAGAGATAATTTCCCCAGGTACAAATCATTAGTAATACCTCATCTGGAATATGCAGTTCAGTTTTGGGCACCAATTCACAAAAAGAACATTGGGGAACTGGAGAAAGTACAGAGAAGGGCAACCAAACTGATAAGAGGCATGGAGGAGATCAGCTATGAGGAAAGGTTAGAGGAACTGAATTTATTCTCTCTTGAGAAGAGGAGATTAAGGGGGATATGATCAACATGTATAAATACATCAGTGGTTCATATAGTGAACTCGTTGTAGAGCTATTCACCCTGAGGTCATCACAGAGGACAAGGGGGCACTCTTTATGTCTGGAGGAAAAGAAATTTAGTCTCCAAACACGGAAAGGTTTCTTCACAGTGAGAGGCTGTGAGAATGTGGAATAGACTCCCTCAAGAGTTGGTTCTTGGCCAGCTCAGTGGATTGCTGTAAAAAGACCTGGATTCTTTCTTAGATACACAGAATATAACTGGATACTAACATTTATAGGTAAAGTTGATCCAGGGAATATCCAATTGCCTCTCGGGGGATCAGGAAGGAATTTTTCCCCTGCAGGAGCAAATTGGATCATGCTTTGCCGGTTTATTTTGCCTTCATCTGGATCAACTGTGGGTGTAGGATAACTTTTTTTTTCTTTACTTTAATGGTTGAACTGGATGGACTTTTGTCTTTTATTTTTTTTCAGCCAGATTAACTATGTAGCTATGTAACACATAATTAAACATAACAAGGCTCCACTTTAAGCATTGAGAAGCTCTTTTAGCAACAGCAAGTTGCATACCTGTTAGTCATTGGGTAATAAGCAATGGGTTTCCACCCACACTGACACCGTCAAAGCTTTAAAAACAAAACAAACTTGCAGTTATATATGCAAATAATAAGATTGTATGTAAATAGTCCATGATCATATAGAATGTCACACAATCCAACATCTGTATGCCATCATGAGACTGCTTGTAATACGAGGTGGTATCATGAAGTTTTGAGACTAATTTTGTAGCACGCCAACAAATGGCAACACAAGGCTGCACGCACAGTCAGGAAGCACTGACCTTCATAAGTCAGTGTGCCAAAAGACACCATTCTGTGTACACCGGGAGCTGTGCAACTGGAGCTATTTTGACCACATGCGTTACCACGTCTGCTCTTTCATCATGGACAGCAAGTTAAAACAAAAAGCAAATGTGAAATTCTGCATGAAACTGGGCAAATCACTGGATCTCTGCAATGTTGTAAAAATGGCATCCTTTGAGCTGGAGCTTCTTCTTGGGAAGAGAGCATTTTTGGGGGATGAGCTTGCTGAAGGTCTTCCTGATCTCTCATTGCAGCATCGCCGTAAACGTGCGAATCATGTCAAACATCTCTGTGGCAGATTTGCCCAGTTTTACGCAGAATTGCACATTTGCTCTTTTTTTCTAACTTGCTGTCCATGATAAAAGAGCAGACGTGATAATGCATGTGGCAAGAACAGCACCAGTTTCACAGCTCCCAATATACACAGGACAATGTCTTTTGGCACATTGACTTGTGAATGTTGGTGCTCCCTGTGACTGTGCATGTAGCCTTGTGCTGCCATCTGTTGGCATGTTGCAAAACTAGTCTCGAAACTTTTTGATACCACCTTGTTCTTAACACCCATCAAGTCAGACATACGTCATCTCCTTTTTACCTTTTTACTTCAGTTCTTCCCAACCTGGGGTATGTGCCAGGACGTTTAGGGGGTAACCAAAAAACAAAATTGATAGTGATTGAAAAAGACAGTGGCATACCTGTGACTGTAAACAAAGTGTAGCTTGGTCACTATAGCTGGAAACTTACTGGGAAATCACTCAGTAATGCCAGCTTTTTGGATTGGTTACTGTGTCTCCAGTTTACATACTAGTATCGCCGGCCTGACCATCTAAATTTTTGTAAACATTAGTGGTGTCACACTACGTATGGGCAACCTGCCAGTCACTTTCTGGTCTGCAGAGCATAGGACGGAGCCGGGGGGGTGAGGACTGAAGCGTGGAAACTGAGCATAGGATGGCAGTAGACGGAATCAGATGGGGGGGAGCATGACTGTGCTGTTCTACGTTGTGTAAAATAAGTAACAAGCGTACTTAGAATCAGGGCCACCCCAAACCTCACCTAGTGCTGAGTAGCTGTCTAATTCAAAATCAGAAAATGTATATAGCTTTTTAGCATTGAGTGAGGTTTGGGGTAAGTCCTAGTGCTCCCTGAATTTAAAGCAGTTTTAAACCCAAAACCAAAAATGTAATATATTGCAGTTTAAAAATTATTAGATGTGGTGGCTGCATTAGTTTTCTTTTCAGGCATTTTTTCTCTCTTTTCAACTGGTAATCTGGGCAGTAACACACCTCCTGTATTAGAGTGCCTCCACTCTGGATAAAGGAGCATAGGGGGCACCTTTGGACAGCAGCACTGTTAATCCATAGGGGAGGGGTGGGGAGTATTCGATATACTAGCAAATTTAAATACACTAGCAAATTGAAGCTGAACTCTAGCTCACTTAGTTACATAGGTGGGGGGGAAGCCTGCACTCTGTCCTTGTTCTCATCCCGCACTCGGTAGGACACCAGTGGGGACTTTTTACTCCTCTTCACCAGGAAGCCTTTAGGCATGTCTGCCAACATTGCCATTCAGTTCTGCAGACTTTGGTGTAAAGGGGAACTCTGATATAAGGTGGTCTTTGGTCACCAGAGCCTCCCCCCTTTACATCAAAGTCCACAGCATATGCAGCAATGCCTTTTACATCAGAGTTCCCCTTTACACCAGGGTCTGCACAGTTTCTCCTTTCATTGTAATGGGGAATCCTGCAGACTCTGATGTAAAGGGGAACGCTGAGGAAACAGATTTTAGGGGGAACTCCAGGAACTCTAATGTGGTCACTTACATCAGTGACCCCCCCCCCCCAGACTGGCCTTGTGGCGCTGTTACTGACCTCCTTTCATATGTACCGTGCAGGTCTCAGTCAGACGGTCCTCTCCAGGCTCAAGCTTGGCGGCTCTGGTTTCATCCTACTTTCTCCTCTCCACAGTCAACACACTCCTCCCGTGACCCCCATCCCTTCCGCTCTTGATTCCTCTCAGGGCTCCCCCTCAGAGACAGCAGACATGATACAAGAGATGAGCAAAGTCTGCAGACATACTACAGGAGATGGTCTGAGAGTGTAGACATGATACAAGAGATGAGCAGAGACTGTAGACATGATATTACAGGACTGTAGACATATTACAGAGATGGTGCAGACACAGGACAGGAGATGGTCAAAAATTGCAGACACACTACAGTGTGTCAAAGACTGCAGACATATTGCAGGAGATGGTCAGAGACTGCAGACATATTACAGGAGATGGTCAGAGACTTATTACAGGAGATGGTCAGAGACTGCAGACACAGTACATGAGATGGTCAGAGACTGCGGCTATACTACAAAATAAGGGGTTAGTCTCTGACCATCTCCATTACGGCCACAATCTCTAACCCCATATTTTGTAGTATATCTGTAGTCTCTGACCATCTCCTGTACGGTGTCTGCAGTCTCTGACCATTGCTTGTAGTATGTCTGCAGTCTCTGACCATCTCCTGTAGTATGTCTGCAGTCTCTGACCATCTCCTGTAGTATGTTTTGCAGTCTCTGACCATCTCCTGTAGTATGTTTGCAGTCTCTGACCATCTCCATTATGGCCACAATCTCTAAGGACACAGGTGACAGCAGAGGCTTCTCACACAGGCCATGAATGTGTAGAATGCTCTGTGTATGAGGGAGGAATGTCAGTGATGTAAGTACAGTACACAGGTCAGTGGGCTCAGTATGCAGAGATGAGAAGGACTGGTGTACAGAGGATTGGGGTGATAATCACCTTTAGTCTTGTCCTGACTGGTCCCCAGGCTCCTCCACTCACATCCCAGCCTCATCATTCAACGGCAGCTCCAGGGAGTGTGCCCACTTTATTCACAAAAGATGCCATGATGTCACTATGCATACACCGTGTTTGCTCTGAAATAGTTTATTCATTTGCAAACCAAACCGTTAATTCTCTTTGGTTTCCTGTTTGTAAGACGGGTGGCTGCTATGCCTCCTTTTCCAATAGCCACTAGTCTTGGCACATCCCTTCTGTAGTTCTTTCTCCAGGAAGCAGTGATGTAATTCAGCCCCACTTGCAGTGGTGGGCAGAACGAGACTCTCAGAAACATTCAAGATGTACAGGCCTAGTGTACCCACCTACATTCACTACATTCCTTGTGGTTGATGGGAAATGTAGTTTCCTTTTACTGCAGGGAGAGAGTAGAGGATATGATGTAATTCCCGGCTGTTACACCTCCTCCTTGGCAGAGCAGATGATGTTATTTTTTGAATTAGAGAGATGAGGCCATGAAAATTCTATTAGATTTTTCTCCCAAACGGTAAGGATTTTCAACACTGTGTTAACTGTTTAGTGTTTTGTTTAGAGGGTAAACTAATGGGTGTGTTTTTTTTTTTTTTTTGCCTATCTTGGATTTCTTCTTTAAGCAAAATGGATCATGGTTCATAGGGTTGTTTTTGCCTTCCTCTGGATCAGCTGTGGGTATAGGATTTTGTATATGGAGGTTTTTGTTTTTGTTTTTTTTTCTGTTGGTTGATCTAGACCTGTGGGTCGCGACCCCTTTGGGGGTCGAACGACCCTTTCACAGGGGTCCCCTAAGACCATCAGAAAACACATATTTCCGATGTGTAAAGAGCAGCTACTGTGTAGAAAGCAGCTGCTGTGTTGAAAGCAGCTACTCTGTTAAAAGCAGCTACTGTGTTGAAAGCAGCAGTATTGGAGGTAAAACGACACTCATGAATTATAATTGCTGGGTAAATAATTTTATGGTTGGGGGTCACCACAACATGAGGAACTGTATTAAAGGGTCACGGCATTAGGAAGGTTGAGAACCACTGATCTAGATGACGTGTGTCTATTTTCAACCTATGTAACTATGAATTCAGGTTTCACATTTTATTAAAAAATAAATGTGGTGCTTCAGTTAATTCCTTTGCATTGACCACTTACTTTCTGATTTCCAGCATATGTGACAAGAGCCTGCGGTCGTGGTTGTAACTTTAATGCAGTTATAAATAGTAAGTGTGGAACCTCTCGACGGGCAGTGAAAAAGATGTCTATTCGCATTGACTGGACAGAAGGAGGAGCAAAACACTGCCCAAAGCCAGCAACATCACCAGCACAGAGGCTACAGTGTCTCAATGAGAAGGCCCCACTCCCTGGTGCAAAGGGAATGGATCTGCCAGTCTCACATAATGTGCTACAAACCAGCTGAGCACTGCTGCTGCATGGCTTTGTCAGACTCAAGACTAGGACATTTGGATGATGCTATTTGACTTCAGTATGGGCGTGAAAAAGACAATTTTAAAGCAACATATACCACTGTTAATGTAAAAGGACAAAAGGCAATGGCATAAAATGACAAATAAAAATATTTTTTGTAAGTTTCAGCAAAGTTGAAGTATGCCTTCTAGTTGAGCTAACTGCTCATTGTGCTGCAAGCACTAAATCTAAGAGGTATACTAGTCTAGATGAAAAAAAATGAGTGCTTTCACAACAGCAGTACAGATTGCTGAATAAAATGTTGGGAGGTTAGTGCCCACTGGTTAGCTGGCCTCTGTGACAGATTGACCACAGAGGAAAATGGGGCGTTAAAAAAACATTTGATAAAAGATTCTAGGTGGAGACTTAATTGGCTAAAATAACTGCTTAGATTTGGATGGAATCAGATGTTTCAAATCCCAGAAGTCTGGGCTTTTTTTCTCAGAGAATTGGTGCAGGAACTCCCCCTTTTCGAGTCACCCTGTGTGTCCACCCCTACCCACAACTGAGCATCATTGCTGGGTCATACCCTTTATCTCCCTCCCAGTACAGATGCTTTTAGAGAATATAGAACCAAGTATCAATTTATTGTTTCTTAGTAGATCGTATGGAATTTGCTACTGATAACAAGAAAAGCAGTAAAATAAACAGATATCCTGTAGCTAGCAACAATAGATCCACCCAAGCAACAATAGACTCCCAACAGCCAGGATCAATAGATCCTCCAGCAGCCAGCAACAATAAACACATCCCTCAACAATAGATCCCTCCTAGCAATGATTGACACTCCACCAACATACGAACCATCCCCAGCAACAATAGATCCCCACCAGCCGTAATAGTCCTCCCCAGCAACATTAGACTCCCCTGTCAAAAATAGATCCTTTCCAGCAACTATAGATCCCCAGCAGCCAGCATCAAAAGACCCCCCAGCAGTCTTTGCGATTACATATATTCAGTTCTGTAGGTGCCGGAACACCGTCCCCTGCATTTCTGAAAAAAGCCCTGCTGTAACTTAACACCATTTTGACAAACCTAATGATTACCTGTGTTATTAAAAAGCATAAGGCCTCATTCACACCTTGGTCCGAGACAACAGTTCTTCCTCACGCCTTCTGCAAGGGCACAAAAAAAATCTATTGTTCTCTATGTTCCCTGTTGACACACCACAACACTGGTATCCGGTGAAGATTTTTCCTGCACAGGAATCTGCAATGCATATGAAGTTTCCAGCATGGAAAAACTGACATGAAATCAACACTGTGGTGAGAACAGGGCACATAAGTGACACGCATAAAAACTCAATGTATGGTATGAGCGAGCCATAAACGTTTGTCACATGCAGGATGGGTTCTATGAGGAGAGGTTTTCCTTGCTTAAGCTAGCATTTCTATGGCAACTTTTTTTTTTTTTTTGCTTTCCATTTAACGTCCAGGCTATTAAATGAAGTATCCGTACATTCAAATGGAAACTTCCGTAACCTATTCTCCTTTGGGGAAGAGGTATCAACCAGGAATGAATGGAAGACATATACAAAATTGAATTTCCATGTGTTTGAGAGAACATCTGTCCTTTGAGCTCTTGAGCACCACTCTCTGAAAATGAAATAGTTTTTTCCCGTAACATAGTTTTATTACCTCTTGATCCTGTCAGCATATCTGTTGTTTTTCATTTCTATAGCAGGCTAAGCTGTCCAGCACAAGTGGCAGTTGGGGCAAACCATATAACATTTATTTATTCATAAAGCTGAATGTGAAACTTAGTTAATACTAACCTCCTCAGAAACGGTCCTTTTGCCAGCGTGGCATCTTCCCCCCATCTTCCAGGTGCCGAGTTTTTGACTGTTTTGATTGGACAGCGTAGGATGATGTAACTCTGATTTGTTCTAAGGAAGACTGCTAGCAGACAGACAAGTTTATTTTATTGCAGAAGAGACATAGCAAGTTGCTTTTATATAAAGTTCCCGCCTCCTTGCAGTTCTTTGCTTTGTATCTTCCAAAAGGAAAAAAAAAACGTTGCTGCAACTGCTTAAGGGCTGGTTCACGCTACATGTGTTCCAGTGTGGGTTTTTTTCTACATTGAAAATGCACAGAAAGTAGGTTACATAGCTGTCAATAGCAGGGGCAGACTGACAACTCATGGGGTCCCCGGGCAATAGGGGATCATGGGCCCCTGTGTCCTTGCCCAAACTCAAAAAAGCCTATGAAAAAGGTACCAGGAGCATCTCATGGGGCCCCCTACTGACCCCGGGCCCTCAGGCAATGCCCTAGTTTCCAAATGGTCAGTCCGCCCCGGTCAATAGCATGGTTCACACCAGTGCTTGCAGTTCCAGAAAAAAAAAGTAGAACATGCTGCCAGTGCCATCTCATAAGCATTATGGGCCCCTGGGCAAAGTAATGCATCGGGGCCCCTACCAGGCTGCATCGTTACCCCATCACAGTGCCTATATACTGTACATCAGGTGTCCCCCATCACAGTGTCTCCATACATCAGGTGTCCCCCATCACAGTGTCTCCATACATCAGGTGTCCTCCATCACAGTGTCCCCATACATCAGATGTCCTTTTACATCAGATATCCCCATACATCATATGTTCCCCATCACAGTGGCCCCATACATAAGGTGTCCCCCATCCCAATGTTCCCATACATTAGATCTCCCCATCACAGTGTCCCCATACATCAGGTGTACCCCATCACAGTTTCCCCCATCAGTGTCCCCATACATCGAAGTTGTGCCCCCCACCTGCAATGAAGTCAGCTCCTTTCTCTCCTGTGCTGAGTCTGAGATGAATCAGTACAGCTCTCTTCTGCCCCCTGTAGGAGGAGTCAGCTGAATCCTCTGTCTTGCAGAAGCTAGCCGCTTCTCATTCTTCAGTCACTCCTGTCAAAGAAGAGTGTCATCAGTGGTCAAATCGCCAGTGAACCCCCTAACACCCCTCCATGTTCTGGCCCTGATCATGGGCCCCCCATGATGCACTTGGGGTCGCTGGGCAGTACCCATGCATTAAGATAGCCCTTCTTGCTGCATTTTTTCTTCACAGAACTGTACTGAAATGCGGTAAAACGCATCCAAAACGCACTGGACCCTAAATGACCCAAAAAGAGGAGGAAAAAAAAATCATCTGGAATGCACCAAAAACTTGCATGCAGAGATGCAACCAGACTGTGTTTCTGTGGTGTGAACCGGCCATAATGCAGATCTAAACCCATTAATTTATGGTTTCAAAAAACAGTTCTAGTCTAAGCATATTGGGAATGCTAACTGTCACATTTGCTTGTGCTCTCAACCAAACTGTCAAACCATCAAATGGAAATGGCTGTTGTCAGAACTGATCACATGTGCAGCAAATGGCAGTTGCAGATCAAACAAAGGCTAAGAGGACAGCCTCCTTGGCTGAAAAGGAGATGCGGGTTTTGCTCTGCTTTAACCACTTGAAGACCCAGCCTTTTTTGTAAAAAATTGTATCTTTTGCAAGAAAATTACTTAGAACCCACAAACGTATATATTTTTTAGCAGAGGCCTTGGAGAATAAAATGGTGGTCGTTGTAATTTTTATATCACACAATATTTGCACAGCAGTTTTTCAAATGCAATTTTTTTTTAAACACACTTTGATGAATTTTAATGCAAAAAAAACACAATATAAAACACATTTTTTTCGGTAAAATATAAAAGATGATGTTATGCCAAGTAAATATATACCTAACAGGTAATGCTTTAAAACTGTGTATGATCTTGGAAAGGTGACAAATTACGATAGATAAAAATCTCCATAGGCGATGCTTTAAAAATGTTTACAGGTTACCAGTTTAGAGTTACAAAGGTCTAGAGCTAGAATTATTGCTCTCACTATAATGGTTGCAGCAATATCTCACGTGTTGTGTGAACACTGTTTGCATATGTACGCACGACTTACGTATGCGTTTGCCTCTACGCACAAGCACAGGGGGGCCAGGGGCGCTTTACATTTTTTCAATTATTTATTATATTTAAAAAAAAAAATTTTTACACATTTCCCTTTTTAAATTTTTTTTTTTATAACTTTTATTGCTGACACAAGAATGTAAACATCCCTTGTGATAGCAATAAAGTATGACAGGTCCTCTATATGGATAAATCTGGAGTCTATAATACCCCAAATCTCTGCGCTACCCTTAAAGTGGTAGTAAATTATTTTTTAATAATTTTGCCTACAGTTAAGCTTATAATAAAGCGGGACCGTTTAGGAGATATTAGTCCTTTTTGATATTCGGCGCATGCGCTCTGAAGGAACGGCATGCCCGTGCCGTTCCTTCAAAGCACTGTGCCGTGGTATCATTGCGACTCGGCCAGTCAGCAGGCCAGAGCTCACGAACCCGGAAGGAAGACCGGGTGAAGACGGAAGCCCCGGGGGGCCGTGACAGCGCTCCACTGGAGAGCTTAATTTCAAGGTAAGTCCTTCATAATGTGCTAGTATGTCATGCATACTAGCACATTATGCCTTTACCTTGCAGGGTTTTTTTTTTTTTTTTTTTTTTAATGCGGTTTACTACCACTTTAAAGCACGGGATAAAAAAAAAAAAAAAAAAAAAACAATGATCTCATGCTTTCAAAAAGAAAAAAAAGTGACAAAATGCTCCTTGCTCCGGTCTCCTACTATAGAGATGATCAAATATGTTCCAGTCTCCAATCAGCCGGTGGAACAGCTGGATTGGATGCCGGGCTTCCCAATCACACGGGAGTCCGGAAAGGCAATGGCAGGAGGGGGAAGGGGAACAATCCCTGCCACTGCCTGAAAAAGTGATCCAGCAGCTAATCGGCCACTCTGATCACTTTAAAGATATAGAGAATCGTCAGCTAAAATTTTTATACCGGGGTTATGGATGACAGCTGCAGCCATGGCCCTGGTATGACCACTTGAACACGATCAGGTATATACAGTATATGTGATTGTGCGGCAAGTGGTTAAC